TACATTTAGATAAATGTTTAATAATTGTTTAATTTGTTATGGTTGAGGATGTGGAACATTTAATTTACAGAAAATTTCATTTATGCTAATGGGAAATATCTATTAACTGATTAAGATGAATTATATTGTAAAAAATGAGTCATACTAAATTTCTGATTAATTATAAGCTTCAAAGAATAAAGCTCTTAAGATTTGCATCACAAATATTTTCAAAAAGTGAATCAAATATTATAATTTGAGAAAATGTTTGTGAATTCATAAAGAAATAACTATAAGTTTCATAAATGGAGCACAGATTTAATGAACCAACGAACATTTTTGGCCAACATGAGGTCAAAGTTACAACATATATATTCATTATAGAATGCCTATATTTTCTAAAATAGAATGTAAAATATAGGTTGTAACCTTGGCCTAATGTTGGCCTATAAATAGGCTGAAAATGTTTCTGTTCATTAAATTTGTACTGGATTTATCAAAATTAAGGTCATTTCTCTACGAATTGATGTTTTTACCAGTTTTAAGTTATATTGTTTTATGAATTAGAATATTTTTGCTCTTTTATTTGCATCAAGTCATTTTGATGTAAAAATCCAAATATCTTCTTTCTGCAAGATTTGTTAAAAAAGAATTATTTGATTTATGAAAATTTCAATGTAAATTATCAGTGTAATTGTATTTAATTGTAATTATAAACACATATATTGAATTTATGATTTAATTAGTTAAGCTTTACATACAAAACAAATAACAACGGTCATTGTCAGGGTAAAAAAATGTCTTTTTTAGTATGATTATGACCATTCAACACAGGTGAAAGTGTTTGCTTTTGTAGTTTTGATATTGTTTTTATATGTAGTGTTTAATTATGTATACACAGTTTGAATTGTTTAATTACATTAAATAGATGTATTTATATATGAAATGGAAATTAAGCTAGATTACTTTCCATGATAAAAAATTGCAAGTTTAAAACTACATAAATATTATATATATATATACACAGTTATATATACTTCAATAATTGCTCATCCGGGTAAATGGTCATGTTTTCTTAATCTTGTCAATCTTCTATATACATTGGTATAATTTAATTCTCATTAATTTATCATTAGATCCAATTATAACTTTATTTAATTGATCAAAGTTAAGGTCAAGGTCAAGTTTTTCTGCGTTCATTTTATTCCAAAGATGAGATTATTATTATTATTATTATTTTCACAAAAACAAGGAAGGATAAGGATTTTGCTGCTTTTTTTAACTCTCTCCACCTTCAGGCAACAAGAAGCCTTTCAATCATGCACATCATTCATTCAACTAAGCTTAATATAATTAGGGTGGCCAGAAAATGAAATGGGACTGGGCGTATCAGGATCATCCATAAAATTTTTTGACCCATGCTTAAACTTGGGTCTCCTGAGCAACAATCATCAGCCTGTACCACTTCATTTGGCTACCAGGTTATGCTTATCAATAAGCAGGAGTTTTTTCTGTTCCTTGTTCAATGTGCCTCAAATGAGCATACCTGTGTCTTTTAAACAAATAAACAAAATTGCTCCTTAGGAAATATCAATAATAAAATCGAAGGCTTTATTGGACTGCAATTTGAAAAAATTGTAGACCTATTAATTCCCATTGTTGTCCATGTGTCTGCTTGTCCTTCCTTAAACTTGAGAATGGAGTTAGACAGAAGAAAGCCGAGAGCAGATATTGAAAATCTAGGGGATGGAGATCTGATTAACTATATACTGTAGAATCCCTCTAGTCTGCCCTCGGCTAGTCCGTCACTCCGGTTAATCCGACTGTGGTCGGAGTCGAGAAACTTGTCCCAACTCGTCGGTGACTCACTGCCCGTCACGTTCTTCTGTATTCGTTACAGTATATGTTTCACATTGTGTGTACGTGTACAGTTTTGTGCATGTTTTCAACATGTTTGGAGTGAAACATAAACACGTTACTCTTTCATTAAATGAAAAATTAGCAGTGCTACAAAGACTGGACAAAGGGAAAGATTGTTTATTTTACTTTTTTCTGATAATCCAACCTTTTTTGCGTTTCGACCATACCCCCAGTCCCAAAGGTGACGGATTAGAGGGGTTCTACTGTATGAACTTCCAGTGCAAACAAGAAGTCACATTATTTCAATTTAAAACTTTCCTCCTGAAAGGAGTTAGATAGATGACTGGCATGACTCTATTGCTAAAAGGAAAAGTATGTTGCATGGGAGCAAGACACTAATTTGAGATGGAGAGCATATATTTTAAATTCATTTTCATTTAATTGTTTATTTGTTAAGTTATGGCAATGCAACACTTGGGCGATCTGGCTAAGGGGATGCCTTCCGGGAGGTTTTTTAAGGGAAACTGGCCCCTGTTTAGGCATTATAAATGTGGAGAAAACCCAGAAAACTCCACGTGGCCAGCCCATACAAGCAAGGTGCAAACCCGTGACCAAACTCCCAGTTCAGGGTACGAAGACTACTTGGCTACTGGTGGGCCCTTCATTTAATTATTTATGCAATTTTTGTTTATATAGTAGCCACATAGATCTTGTTTATAAGTAGGAGTTATTATGCTGATGTAGTTTCAAATTTGAAAAAATAAATAAATAAATAAAGATATGTTGTCTTATTTTTGACTAAATTTTCCTCCTTTTTGCTAATTTGAAACTAAGCCAGTATAATAAGTTCTATTTATAAAAATGCTTTGTTTACATTCCTGCTAAATTTTGTTTTCTAGGAGTTCTTAGTTATGTTAATGCTTTCTGACTAAAATTTGACAACATGGTTTGTGATTTTCAGCTTAAAGAAGTCATAAAAATGAAAACACATTTTAGTCTTTGGAAGAGAATTAATTAATTTTGATAGAAAATCAAACTTTTTGAGGACAGCTTTTGAATAAAGCCTGGAATTCCCCGGACTAAATTTAATAATCCGTCAGCAAAAATAGCATCAAGGTAGTCAAGTGCAAAAAAAATAGGAAGCAGCTGATTAATTCAAAATTTAAAAAATTAAAATTAAAAATTGTACACTAACTTTCTCCATTATATAATATGAATAAAATTTTAGTAGTGAATTGAAATGAGTTAATGAGCTTCAATAAAGTAGATTTTCTAAGTTTATAATTATAATGGAACTTAATAGATAACTGTATTTTATTCGTTTCCATTAAAGAACTAAGTATCGCATCTTTAATAGCACTCGATAGATGAAATATTTCGACCCCCATTAAAAATGATTACTCTGCCTAACTGATCAATATTTTCTGGTTCTGTGGACAACCAGTTATCAAGGTTGTTCCACTATGTATTTTAATTGAGAGAATATTTTCTATCTATTCCACAAAGCATTAACAGTTAATGAGTATATTTATTTAGGTGTCGGGACAGTATTTGGCAATTTTTCAATTTTATCATAAGTTACAAGTTTAAGTAGAATATATTTTAATAATTTGAATAATATACATTTAAAAAATAGTGAATAAAGAAACTATAACATGCCTGGCTTTTCATATAACAAGTGTTTATCACAGATATAATTTATGTTAACTAACTAATCACTGTATTGACTATTCTTTTGTTTATAATCATCGTCTTTAAGTTTAAAAATTTGGACACAAAACTGGAAAAGATGACTGTATGTGTATAAAGGAAAGAAACTTGAACAGGTTAAAGAAGTTAGGATATTTATTTAGACAAAGCACTTTTTGGTATTTTACTCTCGTCTTCAAATCAACAACAATCGATATTCTGATGGTACCGGTACATTCAACATTCAATAATTTATGCACAAGCAGTTTTACTATTCAAATTTTCAGAATATCAAGCATTATTTATCTGAATATGGGATTAAAATCCCAAAAAGTGTTTAATATAAATAAATATTCTGAATCCTTTAACATATTTAAGTTTTTCTTTTAAAAATTTTATATACAAAAGAATTTCAACATAATTTGTATAATTATATAACTGTGTATATTTCCATGTTAATATACTTCATTACTATACCAAGTAAGGTGAGAATACATTTATTTTACTGTTGTTTATTGTCAAAAAGTCAAAATATATATCTCAGTATTCACTTCTGATATTAGAATAAACATGTACTTTGAATGAGATTAACCCTTATTGACAACATTAACTGTTTTGTGTTAATCATTTATCTGAGTAATTCTTGATTTTGTGTTTTATATTATTAAAATTGCATTATATTGTACAGTGGTGCCTTGTACTTTGAATTTAATTCCTTCCAGGCCATTCAAATTAAAACATAAAAACAATAAATAAAATACATAAATACTGTATAATAAAATGAAAATTACATTTACCGTACCTTAGCAAGGAGTGGTGATGTCCTGTTTCTTAAGGTCAATACACAGTTTTCTTGGCTTTTTGACAAATTATCCTCTCGTAGATGATTCATTAGCTGATTGCTTCTCATTTATCCATACTAGGAGAAGTTTTCTGTCGTCTCAATCACGTGCAATCTCCTGGAGGTCAACGTTGTCACACCTTTAGCCACATTTGCTGCTCTAATTGCTTATTTGTTCTTAAGAATGATGCACACTATCGACTTCAGCATCTTAAAATGGCCTCCAGATACGGCACACGTGTACCTCTTTTATACTTCACATTAAGTTCCTTTTTCACTTCAGTCATTGATATTACAACCTTCCTTTTAGACTACTGTTGTGGTTAATAGATAGGGGTTATATATATTATCAAACACCAGAAATAAAGAGAGAAAAATATGCACTAAAACACATGACAAAATACAAGAGATGCTTTCATGAGGAAAGACATGTTAGGCATATAAAAGATGGCAATTACACTGTGAGCGATATTGTGAAATTTTAGATGTTTTTCAAATAATATGTTTGCAAATTTGTTAATGAAGATAGAAAATACTTTGTTTACTAGGCATTTATTGATTTATAAAGTAATCTTTTAAATAATTCAAACATTTAATGTAATCAAAAACTTAAACAATTTGTTTCTTTCAGATTGGTAGTTGGATTGATTCTCAGAAAAATTTAGAATCGAAACAAGATATGGGTAAATTTTTAAGTAATATTTTATCAGTGTGTACTTTCAGTATATTTATAATTTCACATAATAAATTTGTCTCTCTTTCTATAACTGCTTATTTTCAGATGTAAATTGGCAGTTAATAGCTAGATTTATATTATCCAATTAAATATCTTAGTTTTTGCGATATATAGACATTGGGAAAACTCCATTTATTCGGCATTGTGAAAGAAATTCGAACTTTGTTCTTGCCTTGCAAAGCTTAAGAACTATTCTTCTATATAGTTTGGCCGGCGTAGCCAGGATAAATGGAGTTTTCCCAATGTCTATATATCGCATCAGACTTCCAACGGGTTGTGACTCGTTGTTATCTTAGTTTTTGCCAACTTAATTATTTTTATGCACTAATATCAATTAATCAATACAATGTTTTTTCATAAAAATATATAATAACCCTACAAATTAAAATATAATTGATTATATAACAAATCTGTGAAGTTCGTAATAATCACTTTATATCTTTCTGAAAGACAGACAAATTAGGAAATTATTAAGTGAAATTTTATTATAAATAATAACGTAAGTTTATTACAGATTCATTATATATTTTTATCAGTTAATTAATCAATATGATATTTATGCATGAACTCGTTTATTAAAAATAATCATTTCTAAGTATGATATTTTCTTCTTTTAAATGAGATATAAAAAGTTTATTAATTAAAATGCACATTTTTCAAATTATTAATTATCGAAATAAAAAACAAATTATTATTTTGTAGCAATAATGTTCGGTAAGAATGAGTCACATTCCAAGAAAAGCAATCAATTTCTGAGTCAGAACGAAAATGGTTTTTCCCACGACTACATTATTTGGTTTAATTTTAACCTTCTTTGGAATTGATCTTCTTGTTACGTAAATTCTATTCCTGTTATTATCAAGGAATAAAATGTTTCAGTCGCAATAATTTTCTCGTGCGCAAAATGAATTTAATTTTTTTTTAATATTAAATTTATTATATGTAGCAATATAAAGATTTTTTTTTAATTTTAAAATAAATTACTCTCTAATGATTTATGCTATAAGCAAATTACATTAAAACTATTATTAAGTATATGAAAAATACTTATCAATTTGAATATAACAACCACCTTTGTGTAATACTTATTTATTTTTATATCCGGAATTTATTTTTAATTAATTTTCTCCATTTAGATTAAAAATAATTAATAGAAAATAGTTTTATTGCACACTAAATCGATTTAAAAAAATAAAAATTTATAGTATAAATGTATATGTATATAACTTTTGTAAAAAGTGTGTGCACAAAATACCCGATTCCATTATAATCAAATGAAAGGTAGTGAAACCAATCTTGTTAATTCAACTCAAACTACTTTTTTAAAGAGTAAAAAAAACTTTTTAGAAAATTCGAGCACTTTCAAATTCAAATCACTTTCTTCGGTATGAAAACTTATAATTTAATTTACATTTGAAGAACTTTCTCGACAAATGCATTGTCCAATTTGTTAATGTATGGCATTTGGTTTTTACTGCTTATTATCATTTTATACATATACTTTTATTTAATAAATTAGGTTTATTAATTTCAAAATTTTGTATTAAATAAGGAATTTAGATGTATAAATTTTGACTGAAGAAGATAAATATAGGTGAAGCGTTTAAACTTTTAATTTAGAGTGTTTTACATCCAGTTTTTTTAAGTATTTAGAAAACCATTAGTTTTTTTTTTACACAGAAAGAAAAGAGTTTAGTGTTTTCATCATTATTCTGGTTTTAAGGTAATGAAACATGCTAGCTTGAAATATTAAAAAACAAGCATTTAATGGTATACTAGTAGTTAACTATTTTAGACAAGAATAGCTTAAAATTTGAAAAAAGTTTCTTAATTAAGCAATATAATTCTGTTACTTTAAGTTATTGTTATTATTTTAAACATACCATACATTTAATTCTTATTATCATTTATCATTTAGAGCAGGGAGGTTTAAACTTCTTCCATTCACCAACCCTCTTTTACCTGAGAAAATCTGATACAGCTCCTGTTATATAGGTACATAAAATAAGTATACAAATAAAATCACTTACTGGTAATAAATCATAAAACAATTTATTTCAAAACAGTTTTTTAATGTACATATTATTTTACCATTTATTATAGACAAAAGCAAATTTGCATAGAAATGAGAGGGGATGTCCTTGTTTTTACTTTTATATTACAAATTAAATTTTGGCCAAATATTTGACTGCAGAAGGGCATCTTCAATGTTTTTTCAGAGTTGACCGACATTTGATTTTATAATTGTTGGTGCGAAAATGCCGCTTTACATAAATATGTAGTACAAAATTTTACTGTCAGCAAATTTTTCATGACTTCCTTTGAGTCATGATTCACAATTTAGGAAGCCCTGATTTAGAGTTAATTAATTTATATTTAAATCTTTACAAAAGAAACATTAATTTTAAATTGCATTGTATTTTGTTAATTTGATGATAAATAAAGCTAACTTCTTTCTAAAACATGTTTTACTATTTCGATTTTGTATATATTTAATGAACATCGATAATATGATTTGTTTAAAATAAATTTATTCTAAGTTGATAAATAAAATTCCAAACAAATTGAATATTTGACATGATTGATTTGGTTTTTTAAAGTTTAAACCTAATGCCAAATATAAGCCTGAAGCTGCATTTTAATTTTCAGGCCATATTAAGATTAATTAAATTAATTAATTTTGAAATTTGATATGACAATAGTTGGTTAATCAATATGGTTTGTAGTAAGTCTAAATTAATTTGTCTAGAAGTAAGATTGGACATAGATCTTGATCATATAACTAGTAAAATTTGTAGCGACAGATAAGTTTAAATTGAACATTTAATTTTTAATTAGTAATATTTTTTTTACAAGCTAGTGATGTAAGTGACTAGCTTTAAGCCAAATTTCCGTAATTAATTAATTAATCAATAAGTTTGAAAATAATTTGCTGATTTAGGCTTAAATTTAATTTTAAAATAATTTAGAAAAATAAAACAGTACTTCGTTTTTTAAGATAATGTCAAAGAAATATGAGTAATTAATAATGTATTTATTTTTTACTGTAGTTGTACTTTGATTTATTAAAATAATGATTTAAAAAATGACTATATACTCTATTTGTTTAGTATGCAATAGATTTATGTAATTATAAATAAATAAAATACTTTCTTACTGGAACTACAATATAAATAAAAACAAAACTTTTAACAATCCAGCAAATTGTTCTTAATATCATAAAAATGCTTTTGAACGCTTTAAGTGAACATCCTCAGTTATCATTTTGAATCAAACGAAGAATTCGAAATTACGTAAAATAATAATTCAAAAAGCAGTTACATAAATTTACGTTAACATTTAACAAGCTCAAATAATTGCAAAGATTATACAATTTAATTAAAACGAAATAAAGAAATAAAATAAAATACATACATCCAGTAAAAGTTATCTTAATTAACCTTCCCGCTTATATAAACTACGTTAATTCATCGTAGAAGGATTTCCATGCCGATGACAATCCGTCAGCATCCCTATGATTAACACAGTTTGTGTGCAACTGCGCCTTGTGAATTTCTAGTTTTTCTAGATGTTTCACGGCTTGCCTGGATCTTGTAGCCTTGATGATCAACGCCTGATCCCGGAAGACCTCGATATTCTGCTGTTCGGCAAAAGCAGCAAGCACTGTAGAGTCTGTTTTTATTCACTAAATGCTTATGTTCAATAATTCTTTAAGTTTCTCATGATTGCTCCTATGTATACCAAATTGGAGTTAAATCTACGGTTTTTAATGGTATAGAGTATACCCCTGCCATCGCGTTGCGTTCGTAACTGCCTTTATCGTTCCTTAAGAACCTGTACACGGTGGGATTATGTCTGTAAATTATCTGTATATTCTTATTTCTAGTAACTTTCTTAACCATTCCTTTGAGGAACGGTGTGTAATTGAGCATGACTCTTTCTTTATGCTGATTCCCTCCCTGCAAGGGGTGTCGCTTCTGACAATTCTCAATGAGAGCATCTATTCTTTCTCTACGGTATCCTTGCTGTATTGCTATGTTTCGGATATATTCCAACTTGTAAGTGTCGCAGATGCTGGTGCAATGCGTATGTGACTCTGGAGCTGGAGCAGGAAAATGGAAGCAATGTTAATTTTTTGCATGTATCTATAACTTGCAAGGAAGGGGAAATCAGAACAGATATATACTGGAAACCCAGTTATCTTTTTATTATCATTCCTAGGAACTCCACAGACCCTGAGCATATAAAAATGGTGGTTTTTCATTCTTGGATAAGGAGGGCGCAGATGCATTGCACCAATATAGTGTTGTGACACTTACAATGAGTCGGAATATATCCGAAACATAATAATACAGCAAGGATACCGTAGAGAAAAAATAGATGCTCTCATTGCGAATTGTCAGAAGCGACACCCCTCGCAGGGAGGGAATCAGCATAAAGAAAGAGTCGTGCTCAATTACACACCGTTCCTCAAAGGAATGGTTAAGAAAGTTACTAGAAATAAGAATATACAGATAATTTACAGGCNTTCTACACGTCACGTTCAGAAATAGAATCGGGACCAGGAAGTGTTAATATAAAGCGGCATGCAAGATTTACAGGCGGTTTTTTGCGCTTTTGCGGGAAATCGAACATATTTTTATGCTCATGTAAAAATTCTCTGGAAACGTCTGGAAACGAGAGACCTAATTCTTGCATTTTGTGAAAACGAATAAGATTGGCTATAATGTAATTATCTTAATCTTCACTATCGTTACTTTTTGCCCACAAATAAACACCCAGCGAAGCAGGTCCTTGCAGCTAGTAATAATAATAATTTAGTAACATAAATTTATTCATAGTAAAATGTACTCGCGGGCCGTAAAAATTATTTGGCAGGCCGCCAGTTGGACAGCGCTGCTCTATACCATTAAAAGACTGTAGATTTAACTCCAATTTGGTATACAT